GAAAGGTAGGTGCTCCAGTAAGAACATCTCCGACAGCCGCGTCATGTCCCTGCCCTGCTCTGGGCCCGCAGGTGGCAGCCCCCCCCGCGCCCGCGGCTCCATCTCCTCGTTGTCTCTCCACTCGCTGGCCCTCTGCTTTGAAGCATATCGTCTCGCGGTTGAGGCTCGCGCAGATATGGGAGATATGAAGACTGCTGAGAACTGAGCTCCTCGCTCGACTCGTTTGCGCCGAAACTGGCGATGGAACATGATGGCGCCGCGGCCCGGTGCTTGATCAGCGCGGGGACCTCGGGAACGACCTCAGGAAGTTGACCAGGCCATGGCCTTTAGCGGGCCGGAGTTGGTGACAATGATGCCTGGGGAGCAGGTGAAAATCATGTCGCCGCAGGCGCGGGTAATGATGACATGCCCGCGGGCGCGGGCAACGACGATGTCCCCGCAGCTGTAGGCGCTGACGATGCCCCTGTGGCTGCGGGCAACGATGTCCGGGGGCCTGGCGGGGCCCCAATTGCGGGGGTCTCATCTGGGAGCTCTTGGGGGGCATCGGCAGGAGCACCTGGGCGTTCGCTGTCAATCGGCTGCTTGTTCTCGCATTTTCCCTCCTGCACCGGAGCAGTCTCGGGCGTCGGGGGCGCGCGCCCCCAGCTGAGGATGGCCACGAAGCGGCAAGTCGGCATGCGATGCAAGTGGCTGCGCAGGGTGGCCGCTCGGAAGGGCGAGCAGCCGCGCTCGGCGCCCGAGCTTCTCGAAGTAAGCAGCGCGCGCCGTGCAGTCGATCGCGGCTCCCGGGCGGCTCGAGACACCACCCCAACTCAGCAGCGGAGCGTCGGCGCCCAGGATGTCGGTCTCGAGCTCGCCCTCCGCGCCGGCTATCTCCAGCGGAAAGGTGGCCTTGCCGTTGCAGGTCTCGGAGTTGACGTCGCCGAAGATTTAAGGTTGACTTCTGGCCGACGATAATATTGACGTTCCTGCCTGTCTGCTCATAGACGGTGCCTGGCAGCTTCTCGGCGGCCTATATGCCCGCGATGCTGGAGGCAGCGCCGATGTCCAGAATGCCGGAGCCCTCGGAGCCAGACTGCTTCACGCCCGTGCGCATCCACTCTTCGCCCTGCTCCAAGGTCGCCCAGACGGGCGAGGTCACCAGACGATCAGAACGCGGATCCCGGTCGAGGTATCGTAGATCGCCTCGTCGCGCCCGGTCAGATGGGCCCCCATCTCCGCGCCTCGCTGAGCGCTGAAGAAGTCGAAGCTCGAGAAAGCCTTCTTCGGTCGATCTCGACCCCCTCGGCTGCCGGCGGATGAAACTCGGTCTCGGTGGTCTTTCGTATTACCTCCACATTTCAAGCGCAGGCCCTTCTATGCGGGACGCGAGCGGTCACTACTCTTGGAACTCGGTCGATCACGTCGCTGTCCGTCGACGCGCCCTCGCCCCGTGGAAAACCAAGAGCCTCGGGATGCCATTCGAGGTCCATGGGGCTTCTCGTCGCGCGGGCTGCGCATCCACTGGGAAGGAATTCCTCGCCGTCTTCACTCGACGAAGCAGGTCCCGAGCCTGCTCGAAGCTGCGCTGCTGAGCTGCGAAGGCGGTCTCGGCCTCCTCTATCGCTGGAGCAACGTAGAGGGGCTCCTCGGGATCTTTGGATCTTCCTCCGGCTGGGTATCGTAGGACGCGTTCGAATCGTCGTAGTAGCCATAGCCATGCTGAACTTCATCTTCGTCATCTTCCTGATCCCCGCTGGCCCGGACCCTGCCACGATCCGGGCGGCAGTGATCTTTGCCCTGGTTATTGTCGCGATTCGTCGAGTCGCCATCTGGCCAGGATACTCGAAACTGCTCCGATGCTCTCGCAGTCGAGGTTACCCTCCACAACACTGATCACTGCTGCACGCTCGGTCGGGGACAGTCTGGATCTTTGCAGCAGTAACCACCCACGGAGCTGGTCGATGGGGAACCGCCCGGTTAAAATCGGTTCCGAAATCGGCATGCTCCAGAATTTCCTGGAGCCCCGTCCTGATGAAGCTCCAGAGCTTGAGGTTCAGCTCTCTCGCTTTGTCGGCAGGAGTCCTCGGGGCCCTCGAGCAAGATCTCATGGTGAATCAATGCATCTCTGTGTAGACGTCGTTCCAATCCGTCGCCCGTTTGGCGAGACGCTGATGTCTCTGCTTCTCGAAATATTCGGTGGCAAATCCGTTGACCAAGTCGTGATAGGTTTCGTAATCGCGGCGGACAAAGGACGGCATAACAAGAGTCGCGTCGTAGATCGAATACCAATCTGGCCAAATACTTCCCAGCGTCCTGGATGGGCTGCGCTCCGAGCATTGCGCGGACGTGTCTGGGCAACTCAATGGCGCCATCGTCCTTCTAGATGCGGTCCCAATCAACGTGCATGGCGGCCTGTCTAGCTCGTCGCCCGAGTCGTCTCCAGAGTCTGTGGCCGAACACATTTCGTTTGTCACGCCTGGTCCCGCGGATAGAGGCCTTGGCGTCTCGCTCGTAATCGTTCACCTTGGTGAAGTCTCCGTTCCACTCCAATACAATGTCATCTCCAATGCTGCGTTTCGCCATTGTGTCGTAGCACGCTGTGCTCCGTGAATATGTTGCCCATGGAGCTTCACAGCTCCGCAACCATGCAATGGCGCTGCCAGAACCACTGCCCTGAGATGAATCCCTGGATATTGGTCTCTCTCTTCTCTCTCTCTCTCTCTCTCTCGCCTCTCGAGGTTTCGATAACACTGATGTTGGTGTCGGGGATGTACGGGCAATGGGAAGCACGAGGCTGCTCGCGCGATGGTGATGAAAAGGGGCTGTTACGGTTGCGGGCCAGCTCGCAATCCTGCGCGTCACAGGCGCGCACCATGAATCCAGCGACACTCTGTCGCTGCAAAGGCTTGAACCAAGGCGGTTTCAAAAGAAACGTCCTGGGGACACTTGAAACATTTATAGAATGAGCCATCTGGGGCCCGAGGGCTCTACGAGGGTTCTCGGGGAGACCATCAAGCATGCCTAAACTACACACGGAATTCGAAACACGATGCGCCGTGAAACGCGGATATATGTAAACCGGGGTCCCTTGTGAGCGCAGACATGTATGCAGGTGTAAGCTCACACTCGGCATCTAGAGGCCATCTGTTGTGTAGTAAGGAGGCTCTAGTCAGGCAGGCTCTGGGCTGTACGTTGCACAGCGAGGCCCCCGAAACAATTCCCGACGGAACCAGACGGGCCAGGAGCCCACCAAGACGGCCCCAAATGGCTCTAAGATGGCCCAAGACGGCTCCCAAGAGGCCTCCAAAACGGCCCACGAGGCTCTCCAGGAAGGCCCGAAGATGCCAAATGCATCGATTTCCCTCCGGTTTTCGGGAGATATGTTTGCTTCGGTCGGCCTTCCGACGGCCCGAGACGGCCCAAGAGCCCCGAAAGATCGCCCAAGAGGCCTCCAGGACGGCCCCAGAACAGCCCAAGAAGCCTCCAAGACGGCCCCAAGAGGGCCGCAGAAGGCCCAAAAGGCCTCCAAGACGCCCAAGATGGCCTCAAAGACGTCCCTCGAGTCAAGTCGGCCCAGAAAAGCCCCAAAGACGGCTTCCGACGGCGTCGGACGTGCCAGGAATGCCCTGAGACCCCGAGAAGCCCCCAAAGGCCCTCAAAATGCACAACGAGGCCCCCCAAGATGCCTCCAAGAGGCTCTCAGGAAACTCCCAGGAGGAGGCGCCAAGAGTGCCCCCAGAGGCTCCCAAGATGCTTCCTCCTCCTCCTCCTGCTCCTCCTCCTCCTCCTCCTCCTCCTCCTCCTCCTCCTCCTTCTATTCTTCCTCCTCCTCCTCCTCCTCCTCCTTCTATCCTCCTCCTTCTGCTCCTCCTCCTCCTCCTTCTCCTCCTCCTCCTGATCTTCCCCGCCGTCCTCCCCGACGAGTTCCCCGAAGGGTTCCCACAACTGTTGGGGGAACAAATGGCCTGGTGTGTTGGCAGAGCACTGGCCACAACGCTCAGACGCATGGGCGATTCCAAGCCGCGTGCTCCCCCAAGCGTTCCCCGAAGGCTTTCCCTACCGACTCGGGGAACAATTGGCCCGATAGCTTGGCCAAGCTCTAGCCCAGCTGTCGGCCACATCAGCGCTTCCACAAGGGCAGGGCGCGGCGGCGATTCGCCGTGCGCGTCGTCGATAACGCCAACGTCTCAATACGCGCTGATGGTTCCAATCCGCCCCCGCATGATGTTCGCAGATGCGCCGAGACAGCGCCGAGACGCACCGACGCGACCCTGATCTACCCCATTAGGATAGAGAGGGGGCCGGCGGCAGGGGGCGAAGCCCTTACGAATAAGACATGAGCCGTGCAATCAGCCATGAGGCTGCATATCCAAGCTCAATTCCGTGGGGGTGGACCACTTCGACCTCGCAATATTTAGAATCGTGTGACATCATGCCGGGGAATCCAGAGACTATGCCCAGCCCAACAAGTTGCAGAGTGTAGAAGTTCAACTTGAGGATGATCAATACAACCAGGGCGTAAAACTTCTGCTTCAGAAAACCCATATTGCCAGCAGTCTCATCTGCTGGCGCCTCTTCCAACCGATTCTGCCGATCGTACAAAGGAGATGCAACGTCGGTCGTGCACCATACGAACTGGACATATGTTGCAGAAAGGCAAACGACAGAATAGGCAGACCACGCGGTTTTACATGACCATTCCCTCAAATATCCAAGCATCGCACGAAACACACCTTAAAAAAAAGTAAAAAAAAAAAAAAACAAAATAAAACAAAAAAAAAAAAAAAAAAAAAAAAAAAAAAAAAAAAAAAAAAAAAAAAAAAAAAAAATAAAAAAAAAAAAATAAAAAAGAATACGGACGGAAACAAATTACAAAAAAAAAAACAACACAAAAAACAAAAAGCAACAACAAGAACACAACAAGAACCAGCACCCCCCCCCCCCCCCCCCCCTCTCCCCACTCCAAACCCTCACCCCCCCCCACACCAACTTCCCTGTAGCTCGAACGCTGGGGATACGATGCTCATGACCGCGAAATCGCCCTTCATGCCCTGCAAGACCGCATACACTGGCGGAGAATCACTTGAGTCGCGCTGGGAGGGAAGCAGATCAAATCCACTCTCGATCAGCATTGCGTCCACCAAGATCTGGACGTAGACTCCAACACTTATCACGGTGGCAATTACAAGAAGAGCCACTGTCCGATAAGTCCACTTGACGAATGGGTGCCTCAAGAACTGCCACAGCTTCCCCTCGTACTTCACGGCAGGAACTTGACCTCCTGAGACTCTTGTTTCATTCGTAGCTCGCTCTGCGACGGACTCCATCAGTGTGAGGAGCATGAAGAATAGCGACATCATCAACAAACCGAACAGATAAGTGATTAGGAAGGTGACCGCCGCAAACAAGATAATAATGAAAGTCAGCAATGTGAATGATACAATTCCCCACCACAAGATGCAATATCCAACGATGTTGAATGGATGTTCACTGTCTCCCGCGGCCTTGCCACCGTGCAACAACATATACGGGAAATGTGCGATGCGAACTGCGAGGCTGCTCAACATCTCGGTTTTACATACTTTGTGGGCCAAAATGCATAGTACCGTAGATACCAGAGGGGCCACAGCAAGGAATGGGACAAGCCACACAACCATCACCGTCATGAAGGCGTAAATGAACATCTCGAATCCTCGGGCTTCGATGGGCGGCTCAGCGGCCCGCACGGCATCGGCCTCCGACGTGCGGCAAATCTTCCACCCTGTAGATTCGACGCCGTCGTCAGAGCTCCACAGGATCGCCCCGGTTGCCACGACGTCCTGCGGGCCCCGCGAGAAGTGGCCCGAATAGCGCTTCCCGTTCACGGTGAGGACGTCGTAGTTCCTCTCGCTGCGGAAGCGGATGGCGCTGACGCTCTCCTGCGCCCACGGGTTCACGGAGATCTCGCAGCTCTGCTGGCCACCGTACCTCGGCTACACGCAGGAGAGCGACCCTGGGCAAGAGTGACCTGTGGTGCGCGGCCCAGTGTGGGGGGCCCTTCGGGGACACCGCCGGGCGCGCAGGCCGCTGCTGTCGCATCGTGCTTGGCGATCGGGGTGCCCCACTGGGCCCGCACCAGAGGTCACTCCAGCGAAGGGTCACTCTGACACGTCGTTCATTTCTCATCGTGCTCGTTTCTGCTTGTGCTCGTGTCTCTGCTTGTTCCTGGCCCCCTGGTGGCCAGGAAGAGGCCCAGGACAGAGGCATCAGACATGAGAGGATCCTGGCCTCCTAAGATACCCCCGAGAGGCCTCCCGAAGAAGCAGACGTGAGCAACGTGTGCGCGTGCAGCCGCGCACCGTCCCGGGTAGTTCGGGCTCTGCACGCAGGCCCCGACCTGCTCGCACGGCCCCCGCACCGCCGCGCCCCACGAGGCGGCGGCCGCCGGGCCGCGGAGGAGGGCGGCCGCCGCCCAGGCCCAGGGGCGGCACGGCCACGGCGCGGCCCGCCGCATCACGGCGGGGGGGCGGCGGGCCAAAGGGCTGGAGCCGGGCGCCCTATCGGTCTGCACTTCTGGGGTGCTCTTCTGGTTCGTCGCGCTGCCCTGTTCGTGTGCAGCATCTGCTGTGCTCGTCTCGCTGCCCCCTGCCCTTGCCGCCGCGGCCCTCTTGTTTCAAGTGTTCTTGGGCGATTGTCCTACAGCAGCGCCGCTCTGTGCCCATTTTTCGGGTGGCTGTCATTGCCCTCGCTGCTGCGCGCATCTGATTTCACTTCTGGCCGCTTCTGCGCACTGCGGCTCTTTCCACATGTTCGCCTGTATTGGGCAGTCTTGGGTATAGCCACTACGTGTTTAGAAAGGGTTGGGTACGTTCCTGGGTAATTTCACGGAGGTTCGTCGCTTGGGAGGCCTTGGGGCGCGTGGCAGCAGCGCCAGGGTGTCTGGAACGTACGCGATCCTCGAGCGGGAGCTTGGGATGACGGGTCTAGGAGGTGGCAGCCCTGCGGGAACTGCGCAATCCTCGACCGGGTGCGCATGGAATGAGGGATCAGGCATTAGCCGTCATGCGGAAGTACGCGTGGAATGGGGGTTCAGGCATGAGCTGCCATGCGGGAAGTTTACCATCCTCGAGCGGGCAAACGTGGAGAGGGGGGGTAGGGACTCCATGCGGGAAGTGCACCCATCCTCGAGCGGGCACGAGGGAAGGGGCCTCGGTGAGTTGGGGGGGTATGCGCGCACGAGGTCCGCTGGTAGAGGAGGGGCGGCCCCTCGCTAGAGTCCAAGAACCCTAGCAGGTAGACGCTGACATTCTTCCAAGCCTCGACGTGCACAAGGCACGGTGGCGGGCGTCTCGGAGGTTCGCGCTCTCCCAGGCGCGCGGAGCGGGCCAGGGGTGGCGCCCGAGGCGCCGCCTGTGGGGCCCAAGGCCGATCCAAGAGATCCGCGCGGACCTCCGGGAAAGTATGCATGTGTTTTAGGTCGGGCATGTCCTCCTACAGGCGGACTGTGGACGAAAAATCAAAAACTCGAACATATCCAGCACAGATTCAAAATAGTCACACAATCGTCCCCCGACTATGCTTTGACTATTCTTGAACATTCCTCCTGTAGAGGGACATGCCCGACTTACGTGTTCCTCTGACGTCGTCTCTGCTCGTCGTCTCTGCTCTTGGGGCAGGGGTCCTCCCTTGCTTGTCGACGTCGCTTGCCATTGTCTCGGCCGCACGTGGCGCGCACGTCTCTCTGAGAGCCGGCGCTGCGCTGCGAAATACTTGGCACCTCCTCCTCCTCCTCCTCCTCCTCCTCCTCCTCCTCCTCCTCCTCCTCCCTCCTCCTCCTCCTCCTCCTCCTCCTCCTCCTCCTCCTCCCTCCTCCTCCTCCTCCTCCTCCTCCTCCTCCTCCCTCCTCCTCCTACTCCCCCTCCTCCCTCCCCCTCCTCCTCGCCTACCCCTCCTCCTCCACCTCCTCCTCCTCCTCCTCCTCCTCCTCTTCCTCCTTCTCACCCCTCCTCCGACTACTCCGCCCCCTCCTCCTCCGACCTCCTCCCCCTCCTCCTCCTACCCACCCTCCTCCTCCTCCTCCTCCTCCTCATTCACCTCGTCCACCTCCTCCTCCACCCTCCTCTCTCCTCCTCCTCCTCGTCGTCCTCTTTCCCTCCCCCTCTTTCCTCCTCCTCCACCTCCTCCTCCTCCTCCTCCTCCCTCCTCCTCCTTCTTCCTCCTCCTCCTCCTCCTCCTCCTCCTCCTCCTCCTCCCCTCCTCCTCCTCCCCTTCCCCCTCCGCAGCAGCAGCAGCGTCCTTCTTCGAGCGGGATCGAGCTGCGAGGGCCCGGGGCCCACACACCGGGCGGAAGCGCCCTTGTTCTGGCAAGAAGTGCAACGCCGAGAGCTCAGGGCCTGCGGAAGGAGCCGATCTCTATATATACGCACGGACGCGTCTTCTGGCCCCGCACTGAAGCTCGCACAGGAAAGCGGGTCGGGGCGTCTACGGGATACTGGTGCATACATTTTGTCGATGCTTCCCTTACCCCGACGTCGTCCCAAACCCTCACAGGAAGTCGTGGGATTGAAGAACAACCCGCGATCCCCAGACCCCCGACTTCATGATTTCTCCATGACGTCAACCTCCAGAGGTCTTGACCCATTGCCAGGCACCGTTGTTGCATCCTGAGTCGTCTTTTCACGGTTCCGAGGCCCAGTAAGGGCCCCCAGATGCCGAAAATGGCGAAGAAACACCCGTCGTGTTTTGTTTCATGACTCGAGGGGGTCTGGGTCACAGGGCCGGATGTTCTTCCAGACAAGCGCGACGGCGGCGCGCGACGCGGAAGAGGAGGAGGCAGAAGAGCAGGAAGAGGAGGAGACGGAGTAGGGGGAGGAGGAGGAGGAGGAGGAGGAGGAGGAGGAGGAGGAGGAGGAGGAGGAGGAGGAGGAGGACGTGGAGGAGGACGTGGAGGAGGACGGGGAGGAGCGCAACGGCGGCGCGCAACGCGCCGACGAAGACGACACCGAAAATGGCGGCGGCGCCGGCGGCGCCGGCGGCCGGCGGGCAGCCGAGGCCCGCCGTGGCCGCTTGGGCGGCGCCGCGCGGCCACAGCTGGGGGCGCCGCGCTCCCGGCCCCAGTTGGGAACCCGGGCCCCCGTCATCCCTCCCGAACCTTCTCCTCCTCCTCCTCCTCCTCCTCCTCCTCCTCCTCCTCCTCCTCCTCCTCCTCCTCCTTTATCCTTAGCCTTCACTCATCCTCCTTCTTCGTCCAGCTGCCATTTGGGCTCCCACGCGCGCGGGGGCGCGCGGGGGGGGCGTCCATCTGGCCCCAGTCGCCGGCGGCCCGCGGCGATTGCGGGCGCTGGTGCACCTCGACGACGGCTGGCCGCTCGCCTCGACGGCGCTCGCCGTCGCCAGCCTGGCACAGGCGGCAGCGGCGGCGCCGCGCGGAGGCTCGCCAGGTCCTTCGCGTCGCGGAGGCCCGCAGGACGCTGGCTGGCCACCACGGCGAGGCCATGGCGCAGGACGAGGCGGCCCATGGAGCCCCTTGGCGCACAGCTCAGGGGCGTGGCGGCGGTGGCCCTGTGTGGGCATGCGCGGCCACGCGGGCGCGCGGGTTCGCCAACAACTTCGCGACCCGCGAGACCTGCTGGGCCTGCGGCCTCGACCGCCAGGGCCGGCCTACGGGAGCCAAGGGGGCCCGCCAGCCCACCAGGCCGCGCTCGGCGTCCAGGCCTCGCTCGCTGGGCGCTGGCGGCGGTCGCCATCTTCGCGGCGCTCCTCCTGGGGCTGGCGGCGGGGGCACCGCGGAGTCCAACGCGGTGGCCAAGTGCCGTAAGGCCCTCAAGGCGCTGCGCAGCATCTATGACGAAGAGCACTCCCTCGTCGTGGCTGCCAAGGCCGAGCTCAGCCAGGCCGAAGCACAAGTGCGGGCTCACATGGCGCCTGCCGACGTGCTCCGCTCGGCGCTGGACAGGCAGGCAGCGCGTGAAGAGGGGCGTGCAAAGCTCCAGACGGAGGTCGACGCCCTGGCAGCCCAACACAAATCGGCCACCGACAGGCTGGACCGCGTCAAGCTGCAGCTTGTGGAGTCCAACGAGGAGGTGGCGCAGGCCCAGCTGGCCAATGCGGCACATACCGCACCACTGGGCGGCGATGCGGCATCTTCGGTGGCGGCGCTTCAGCAACTTCTCCAGACAGCCCGCAACTCCATCCAGCAGGGCCAGGACCGCAACATCGTGGGCGGTGCCATCCTGGAGCAGCTGGTGGGACACGTGCGCACGCCGGGGGACGCAATGCCGAGGCCGTCTCCGCCAGGCCAGACGGCGATGGAGGTTGAGGCCTTTCGCACCGCGGGCGGGCAGCCCGCTGGCGTCGGCGCCCACACAGCAGCAGTCACAGCAGCCGCAGCGCCTGCAGCACCAGGCGCAGCACGTGCACCAGCAGCACCACCCGTCGCAGCAGCACCGACGCCAGCAGGAGCAGCAGCGGCAGCGCGGGAGTTTGCGGGCACCACGTAGACGAGCCACGCGCCGCAGGGCGCGCACCAGCATGGGGGTTGTCACATTCAAGGGGTATTGCTGGCGATCGTGCCAGCAGTTTTGGCAGAATGGAGCGACAGATGCGCTGGTGGTAACGGCTCAGGAACTTCGACTTGATGGCGAAGCGTTGGATCAGGCGCGAACATGGGCGACGTGAAATGGATGGCAGCCATTCAGTCCGTGCAGGCGCCTGGCTTCCAAGCTGCCGAGCGCGGGCGTGGGGATCTTTGTCAGGGCGCATGTATCCACTACTCTTCTTAGTGGTGCTGGGGGCGTTACGGATGGGTTCGAGATCGTACGTTCGTGGGCGGTGGCAATACACGTACATGCTGGGATCAAGGGAGGCTTCATCGTCGGGTCGGCGTACATGGAGTCGGTCCCAGACCCCGACTTTCTCACCGCTAACTATCAGAAGCTCATGCGCATCGCGGAGAGCATGCGCTACTTCTCCGCCCCTTTCATTTTCGCAGGTGACTGGAACACGGAGCCTGCCAACATGGAGGTGCTGGGCTTCTTGCAGATCATGCCTGCCATTGCGGTGGCCACTCAAACGTCGGGCACTTGTCGTTCGGCAAAGACGGGCACTTACAGCACCGTCGACTACTGGCTGGCCTCACCTGACTTTGCGAAGGCTTGTGGCGTCCCCTACGTGCTCGACTCTTGGGTCCCGAGGCCCCACTATCCTGTGCGCATGGATCTCGACGCGAAGCCCAGGGCGCACATGCAGATGCACCTGAAGGCGCCCAAGCCTTTCCCCAAGCAGGCGCCGCGGTGCTCACGGGCCAGTCCCTTGTATGGACCGCCCAAATTGCAACCCTACCTGGACGTGGTCAGGCAAGATGCGGATCTGGGACAACCTGAAGATGGTGATCAGGCACAGCGGCGGCTCGACGGCCTCCACGCCAACTTCATCTCGTTCGTGGAGCAGGACCTCTGCCACATCAACCAGGTGGACGTGCAGGATCGCGAGAAGTATTGTGGTAGAGCGGAAGCT